ACTAATATATTTGCTTATGTACGTAGTCAATACCTCTAACGTTGTAATACAATCATTACTATTTCTTTAAACTTATTAAAATCTAAGAAAAAATCTTTACTAGGTGTTTATAAATATTCGTAAAAATGGTATAAATTATAACCATGACTTAACAAAGTTTTAAACTATGATTATAATATACACTTAAATGATTTATACCGTCGTATTTAGTTGTTTCATTTTCTCATTAATGACAATCGTTGCAATCATGACGTTGTATCAAGTAGTATCTCATGAATATAAAGATTTTCTCATACTTCGTTAAGTATGTGCACTGACTCCAATGGCGCTGAGTCTTCTTTGAGAAGCTGATGATTGGCAGGGTACAGATTACTGTTGAGGGGCCAAATACTGAAAATAAAATTCTTATCGATTTCAGTTCATACTATTTTTATTTTTATTTTCACGCTTTTTCATCTCTTCACGAACTTAGCGCAATACAGTAAAGTTGTCCTTGCTCTTATGTAATTAAGCATCGCATCGTGAAGGAGTATGAGGGAGTGGAGGTATAGCTCCGTCTTTCTTGACATAGCCACTATCCTGGAGTAGACTGCACTAATCACTTTAGCCCAGGGAAAGACCTCCCGGTGCCCATCTGACAAGGGGCCGAGAGCCTATCTGGAATTTTTTGAGAAGAGAAAAATCTCATGTTCCTACACAGAATCGAGCCCTGACCGTTGTTGTGACGTTTAAAAATCAATGTCGAAATAAATTTTCAACCATCCACCTCCCGTCCGATTAGGAAGCGGTGGAACTTAGCATCCCGTTCGTCTATCTATATTTATGCTTGGATATAAACCTTGTTAGCGCCTCAGGGTTGGAAAAATTTTACTCATATTTGGTATTTAAAAGCTTATTCATCCTACATCAGTTCCCGTTTAGTGTGAATATTCCAGCTACAAAAATAGGTGCTTTCAAACAGGGCCTGCGCACAAAAATGGTAGTTTTCTAAAAAAAACTTATATAAAGATTTTGGTTAAATTTTGATATTTCATGCAAACCCATGTCTCTAAAATAATTGCATAGGTACCATCGTCAGAAAAATAACGACATTCCCCAATGAAATGGACATCCAACACGTGCGTGTGATGGCTTCTATAATCGCAGACCAATGATGATCTACAGAGCAACAGTGGATTTCTTTTCCAAGGCAAAGTTGTTAACGTCAGCCGTACATGAGAAAGTATGTGCAATATATTTGCACTGATTTATTTTATTTTTTGAAATATTTAAAATTAAATAAAATGTTAATTAATGTTAAAGGAAACAATGAAGAGCCAGATTTTTTATTTTCCTTGTTTTAATTGCATTAAGCTAACTGTAAATATCAGCTTTGTAACGGTGATTGAGAGCTCTGACATCACGAATTTCAAGTTTTGCATATCAACGAACTGAGCATTAACGTGTTGCATAAAAGTCTTGTTGTACTTTGTCGCGAATGAGCGAATAGTCTCAATTTCAGTGTATTGTGTCTGTTCTATAAGTACAGATAATATCCCGCAACACACGAGCACACAACAATAGGACATTCATTGCTAGGTAACGGACCAGTTAACACGCCTCCTTAACAAGACAGGTTCTGTTTTCCATAGGGTCAGTGCAGAGGGGTTATAAAGGGACAAATAAAGTCGCTTGTGAAGAAGGCCCGTGTGGAGGCGGGTTCGAATACCTTCACCATGACCCCGCGAGTCGTAGGAAGCGACGAAAAGGGAAGTCTCAAATCTAAGACAGTAAAACATGGTTGCGAGTCCGAAGGGACTTGGACCCAAGAAAGACTGCGCTGGCAAGGGCTAGCAGCATGTATAAAAGACAGACCCGTCCTCTCATCAGAGAGGGAGCCCAACGAAAACAATACCGTAACTGTCAAACAGTAATAAATATCTGGTCAGGAGCCGCTCGACGCCAGGACTTACTGACTGACTGACCGTCAGTTGCAATGTGACTTTGACTTTGACTTTGCTTGTGAAGTAGCAGAAGCAAAGCAGTAAAATTGTAAGTAAAGGGCAGAGCTTCTAGGCGCTAGCCTGACGGGATATGAGATTGGAATTGAATGGAGTCGAGTCTTCGGAATCGGCAGTCGCAGAACTAGGCTTTGCAAAGAAGACTTCAGGTATAATTTGAAGTTACAGTGAAACCGTGAAAATTCCGTTCCAAGGAGACGAAGGCCCGAAGGCATGGGCCGTCAAGGTGGAAGAAGAAGACGACCTAGTACTGCTCTCGTCCTGTAGGTTCGCACAAGTGCCGTATTGATATTATTGAATAAAGGTAATTGAATAGCATCTCTACGAGTTGCATCCAGTGTAGATATACCTACAAGGGTTTCAAGGAAATCTGTTTGTATCTGTGACATTGATCTGCGGATATGGGACAGGAAACAAAATTAAGGCCAAGGAGACAGCAAACAGTGACATCACAGAATTGGCCTATAAATCCACATTAATTGTGCGAATTTGTTTGAAACTTAGAAAATGTTTTCCATTTTCTCTTGCAGAATGTAGGATTTAGTTGTGCGAAACTTTCTGGTTGGGATAGGTTTTCTTTCAAGCCAGTAGATAATGAAATGAAAATGGCGCCCTGCTGTTCTCATCACTCTGCAAGAATTGTTTATGGATCAATACAGAAGTCGTGGTTTCTTTTCCGATCTTCTAAACTTCAGCCTAACCTGCTGATTGGTTGTCTATATAGGTCAGACGATGTTTCGGCTGAGTCAATAATAAGTTCCTAGACCGTAATGACAACTTCGTATAAGGTAACAAGAATATTACTTAATACCAAATATTGCCAGTCAAAATCATCTGTGAGTGTGAGTCATCATAAAGTAGCGACGTAGATTGGCACGTCATCATTAGAATGTTACAGATCCTACTTTCAGCATTAAATGGGAACCAAAATCGCCATACCGACAACACTGTTTTACACGAAGGTCTTTCATTTTTCTGTGTGATTGCCTATGCAAAGTATGACGTAACCTCAAAGATGATTTAGACAAAGTATAAACAGAAACTTATGTATTACGTCACCCGTCGTGACGAGCATCATAGAGATAGACTGACTGACTGACTGGTATAGAACAGGCAGACTAGGCAATTAACTGACTGACGGATACATGAGAGGCTCCCGTCCCTCTGTGGAAAGGAAGCTGGGTGTACTCCACGCTTGGTCTGGAAGTCGTGTCGAAGGAAGAACTTCGGTCAGACGACGAATCCAACTTCAGATCTCCAGTTACGTTATTCGTTATCCTGGCTCATAATTATATCCAAATCAAGAAAATGTTAGGTTTAAATTACATTTCGTAGAAAATACGTGTAGCTTTATTCATTCAATTTTCATTCATCGGTGGTTCTACAGCCACTTGTTTGGTCCTGGCCTCTTCTTCTGTTTTGTAATCTTTTTTGTCCAGACGGTAGGAGTCCTTGGACGAGTGACCAGCCCATCGCAAGGCCGCTACCTAAACACAGAACAACATAAACACAGAATAAAGGCAAACAGACATCCATGGCGTAAGTGGGATTCGAACCCGTGATTCCAGTGTTTGAGAGAACGAAGACAGTTCATGCCTTATACCGCGCGGCCACTGTGATCGTCCGTCTTCATTTATAAGTACATAATATTTTGGAACAATATATACGTTTTTTTTTAATTTACGTCATTAATTAGTGGCCAGAATAGCTCAGCCGTTATAACGGCGGGTCACAAGGTGAACAAACCTGCTACTCTTTCCCCGGGGGTAAAGCGAAAGAGGCGTGAAGCTGACCACTAACCTCCATCTAGTGCCGAGGTCAAGAATGGAGGATCTACATCTCCACTCCCTTATACATCTTCATGGTATGGTAATTAATTACGCACAGGGAGAACTTAACCTCTTTACTTCATTAAACATAATTTACCTGAACAGGCTGGTCTAAGGGTAAAGCTCCCAACTTGTATTCGGGAAGTGTTTGGTTCAAAACTCGGCTAGGACACCGGAAATCCTGATTTATTTCGTGGTTTTCCCTCAGATATTCCAAGGAAACTAGAAGGATAATATACAACTGAAATCATGACCGCTTCCTTCCAAGTACCTTGCAATTCATCATTCACTAATAATCATATTATCCAACCGTATACAGCCGGATGCTTGCAGTATCATCATTTTCTCCTTTCGCTCACACTGTGGAGCGCAGGGCTGATTTCTCAGTTTCATGATCATTTTTACAGACTGTCGGACACTTTGGACGGATGACCAGCTCGTCGCAAGGCCTGTGCCTAAACACAGGACAACACAAACACAAAATAAATGCATAAACACATCAAATATCCATGCTCTGTGTGGGATTCGAACCCACGACCCCGGCTTCCGAGCGAGCGAAAATAGTACATGCCTTAGACTGTTCAGCTACCGTGACCGGCAGTGTATAAGAATAACAAACTAAAGAAGCAGAGTGTGTTCGCTATTGGATGCTAAAAGCTTGAGTCGGAGCGAAATGTCTCTCATAATTCATTCATTCATTCTGAGTAACGGGTAGCAGTGAACATAATTTAGATTCGCAATCAATTGCTCAATTTAACTTTCTGTCAGAGTTCAAAGAGACAAGTTAATTAACTAATTATCTTACCAATGGGGTACAATTTCTACAAGATTATTAGAATTGACCTTCATTTAATCACGCGTATCAGCGGACAGGCTCATAATATTTCATAACTTTGGATCAAGTAGTTTGATGGGGAAAGCTGTATCCAATTTGACTTCTTATAATCAACTGCTTTAGTGCCTTCGATTTCCTCATAAGATGCAAACAAGTGGGATCGAGAAAAATCGCTCAAATTTTGAAAAACTTTTTGGATTTTACGTGCTGTGGTTTCGTCTTATTGGTGTTCCTATAACATTTCATAAACCATCGCGTATTTATTCATTGTATTCAGCATTGCTCACACTGAACACTTATTCAGTTTTCTTCACTGTTCTAGCTGATCTGTTCCAGCATTCAGTGAACCTGGAGCACATCATGGAGAACTTCCGGGTAGTGTTTCCAGTCCTGAGCGCAATGTGGGTCCAGATGTCTATGAGGTAATATGACGACTTAATGAGTCCATGAAATGTTGGTAGTTATTCCGTTGGTCAGAAAATATCTCGAAGAATAAATCTTATGGGTTGTGACGTCGTGTATTTCGGAAAGAGCTCAATGTTTCGGAAACTCTTTCTTCATTATCGAAAAGTAAAATCATGAGACAGGCGGCAAGCAGAACCTGGACTAATCATCGACTCTGAAGTTAAAGGCGGTAAGTTCCTCCGAAACATCACGTTTTTCTGAGCTACAGGATGTTACTACCCATAAGAACATTCTCTTTATTGTCACGGCTGTGAGAACCTCAAACTCGCACCCCAAAACCCTCAAAATTTCCCATTTTTTATGGAATTCAAAACTTCATTTTTGGGTCATAAAAGAAACTGTCTATGAACTCTGCCCCCTTTCACTTGAAGACAGTCCACAATCTTACATGCTATTTCTCTAAGATCTACTTCAATATTTTCCTCTGAATTATGTCTAGGCCTCCCTTTCCAGTTTCTGGACTAAAATTGTCTCATATTTGTCACCTCTGTCGTGAATACTGCTTGTTCCCTCCATCCTACTTCCATTTCATTCATCAGCAACAGAATCGGAAAACTCATTCAAGAACAATATAGGATAGGCCTACATATCTAGCCATCTGTAGCTCATTTACTCAAGAAATTCCAGACATTTTATGGAACCCGAAAGTTAATTATGGTGTTCACAAGAGCCCTCCACTGGTCCCTATCCTATGGTACATTAATCCAGTCCATAACACCCGATCTTGTTTCTCTAATATCCATTTTAATATTATCCTCCTTCCTACGTCTAGGTCTTCCTAATTGTCTCTTTCCTTCTGGCTTTTCCACAAAAATCCTATGTACATTCCTTTCCTCACTATGCATGCCACATGTTCTGCCAAAGGCACCCTCCTTGACTTGAGTCTTATTGTACTTCTTTTGGCTTATTTTGGACTTCACCCATCGTCTGGTATGTAAAAGACAAAAGACCACGACGTTTCGGAGACTGGATCTGTCTCCGTCTTCAGGTGGCTAGGGAAGGATAAACCTACTCATTTGGGCCCGTTAGAAAGAGCTAGTCTCAATCACTGGACCTAACGGGCCCAACTGAGTAGGTTTATCCTTCCCTATCCACCTGAAGACGGAGACAGATCCAGTCTCCGAAACGTCGTGGTCTTTTGTCTTTTACATACCAGACGATGGGTGAAGTCCAAAATAAGCCAATAGAAGTACAGTATATACCATTGTCAGAATCCTTTCAAGTCTACTTGAGTCTTATTATTATATTTGGTTGGTTTCCATTATTTTCAAGATACTAGGACGTCAGGTCTTTCTTACACTGCACAGAAACACTAGTTTCATTCCCCTATACACACGCCTTCAATTTCGTCAGGTAAGTGTTTGTATGTTGACAAGAAACAGAGTTTAACGTTATGTTTCATTCTTACTACATTTCTTTTAGGAATATTTTTAAATCAAAAATGAGTCCCCGAAAACAAAAAACCCGAACAGTTTGGCCTGGACGTAACGTTTCAGACTTGTACTCAGTATATGCTCCGTTCGAATCTCGGCTAGGGTAGCGGCTATCCTGATTGAAATTTTAGTGGGTTTCTTCAGTTTCTCTAGGCAAATTCTGGGATAGTTCCTGCATTAGTCAACGGCCGCTTACTTCCAAATCCTAATTCATTAGTAACGCATGATTCAACACTACAGAGCAATGTGGTGTATTGACCTGTCGCCGGGCAGAGACCTCGAAACAAAAATCGAGAATAGCCGCTTCTATGCAATAGGCGAAAAAACACATGGCCGTTTCTGTACAACGGCTAGGTAAACATATTCCCGCCGAAACGTACATGCAATTAACAATAGAAGAACGGTGTTTTCGACGTGGTTCGTTCAAAGTAGTTTTAAAGAAGAGAACTAGAGCAATCCAGTTAGTTGATGGATGACAGTTAAGTTGAGCTCTGCAAAGAAGGCTACGAAGAGATGGCGCTATAGTTGAGTTGACAGCTGACAAGAGTTCTGCAGGGGCGTCTGTAACAAGAGAACCTGAGTGCGGAAAACTGTTAAAACCCGTTGCCAGGGAACGGCTAGTTAAGACAAAGCAGGCTGGAAAAGGCTTAGCGCGTGCTGTGGTGATTTGTAAAGCACAGAGATTAGCAATAGCGCTATAATTACTTGTACTTTCGAGTGTTGTTTATAAGTGGACAATAAAACCATTCATCAATCCAAACCCCGTCTATAGACACACACACAGAAATCGTGACTAATATAATATCGTTAAATGAGCTATGATAAAAGATACTGACAATGTGCACAATCCTGTGATATTACGACGCCACGCAATTAAATATCTTACTAAGTATGTACATCCAGCAGTAAATGCTTCTGATTTGCATTAGCGAGAGACACAATTGTAATATCTGGCTGGGCACTGGCTGTCATGTCCGAGTTTTCTTTGGTTTTCCTTAATACCTCCATAAAATTTCAGGGAGAATATCTCAGAATAGGTTGCGACCACACCCTTTTGCGTTTATAACTCACTCTCATCCACTATTTCGATGCCTTATAATTTGAGTTAATGAAAACCCCCCGTTAAGTAAACTATAGATGAAGAAACATCCACCTGCATTTTCATGGATTAAACAGACACAGTATTCCATGAAGTTAAAACTAAAGTAAATTTATATATATTCTGCGTATAATTAATCTCCCACTTTCCTTTGATACTTCACCGACCTCATAGAAACTCCTCCAAAAATCTGCATTGCCGTAGGAACATATTTACCGAGCTATTGCCTTGCAACGATAGGAGAATACACAGACAGACCAACAGACACTCATTTGGTATGACGCGAACCGTATAGAAAACGACGCCTCAAACAATTATCCGTTTCGTACATTTTTTTGCATCGGCAACTTGTATACGAAGCCGCTGCCTGGCAACGATATGGGATATATACATTGAAACACACAGACTAATGAGAGGAATTTATGAGGTACGCCATTGAGATAGGCTCAGGTGCCATGATATATATACGAAATTTCATAAAGATTGATTCAGGCATTCAAAAGCTGGTAAGGGGGGATACATAGACAGACAAGATGGAGATCTCTTAAGTTTACGTTTATTTTTTTTTCTTCAAAATAAGGAAAGTAGAATTACAGGAATAACGGTGCTTAGAGTCAAGAATGGATTTTACTATATCCATATTCAGTAAGAAGGTATGTTTCTTGCACTGTTTAAGATGCTCATCCAATCCAGAAGCAGCTGCACAAGGTGTCCCTACTTCATATCCCAGCACAGTTTGTATGCACTTATGCCTCTAACGTGACGCACTCAGTTTCCAGAGGAAGGCGGCTAAGCGCCTGATGCTCCTCGCTGCAGCTTTCAAGTGGGAAGTCTCGCAGAACAAAACAATTGCTGACGACAACTTCAAAATGACGAATCTTCTCCCAGCCATCAAATCAGCAAGCCTGAGAATCCTGACAATCTTCTTCAGTTGCCACACCTGCTACATCAGCCTGCGTCTAGCGCTGGGCGAAAACAGGCCCCTCAGTATCAACGCTTATTACGGCTTCAACACAACCAGCAGCCCTCTGTACGAACTGATCAACCTTTCTCAGGTACATATTTCTCATTACTTACGCCGTTGTCGGCATAGCTATTGGCTACGGGCTGAACGGCCGAGTGGCCGGAGTTCGAGTCCCGATGGGGTCAAAAATTCTATATTCTCCTCGTCGTTCAGACCGGCTCTGGGACCCACACAGCCTCCTATACAATGGGTACCGGGGGTAAATCGGCGGGGGCGTGAAGCTGACTATTCACGTCTAACTATTGCCTAGGACAAGAAAATATTAATCTATACATCCATTCCCCTACACGCCTTTATGGCGTAGAGTTTAATTAGTTAAGCAAAGGAACAATTTTACTTTTATAAAGCGTTATTGAACATAACAAGCACATGGGAGGTTCTCACGGTCGTAACTATGAAGATTGCTGTGTTCTGGAATATGACATCGCGTAGTGTGTAGATAGGTGCAGCGTTTCGGAGATGCCTGATATCTCATTCTTCAGGAAAGTAGAGTGAAAATTGATGCAGGAGAATCTTAAAAAACTTTGGTGTTTCTGTTCGGAACTATATGATTCCTTATCTCAGAACACAGAAATTTTAATGACAAACACCATCATCATCATCATCATCAGTAATCTGTCAGACGACAGGTCCACAGTCTCTTCCAAAACAATTCCTCCACTTAATGCGATCTAGAGCTTTCTCCTTCAAATGACAGTATCCTCTTCTGTCCCCAAG